AAGTTGCACTCCTCAATTTAAAAAAAAAAAAAAAAAAAAAAAAACCCAAAAAAGCAAAACCAATCCCAAAAACAAAAAAGAAAAACAAGCAAACAAAAAAACCCCACAAAAACAACAACAAAAACACCCCAAAAACACAGAAATCCCCACAAAAACAAAAAAACCCCACAGAAACCACCAAAAAATCCAAAAAACCAACTAAAACCAACCAAAAACCCCAAAAAAACCCCAAAAAACCAGAAATTCTTTACGGCACCTTTTACGACAGTCGCGCTTTACGGCCCCTTTTACGACAGTCGCGCTTTACGACACCTTTTACGACAGTCGCGCTTTACGGCCCCTTTTACGACAGTCGCGCTTTACGGCACCTTTTACGACAGTCGCGCTTTACGGCCTGCTTTACGACAGTCGCGCTTTACGGCTGGTTTTACGACAGTCGCGCTTTACGGCTGGTTTTACGACAGTCGCGCTTTACGGCACCTTTTACGACAGTCGCGCTTTACGGCACCTTTTACGACAGTCGAGCTTTACGGCCTGCTTTACGACAGTCGCGCTTTACGGCTGGTTTTACGACAGTCGCGCTTTACGGCACCTTTTACGACAGTCGCGCTTTACGACAACTTTTACGACAGTCGCGCTTTACGGCCTGCTTTACGACAGTCGCGCTTTACGGCACCTTTTACGACAGTCGCGCTTTACGACACCTTTTACGACAGTCGCGCTTTACGGCTGGTTTTACGACACTCGCGCTTTACGGCACCTTTTACGACAGTCGCGCTTTACGGCCCCTTTTACGACAGTCGCGCTTTACGGCTGGCTTTACGACAGTCGCGCTTTACGGCACCTTTTACGACAGCCGCGCTTTACGGCTGGTTTTACGACAGTCGCGCTTTACGGCACCTTTTACGACAGTCGCGCTTTACGGCACCTTTTACGACAGTCGCGCTTTACGGCCTGCTTTACGACAGTCGCGCTTTACGGCTGGTTTTACGACAGTCGCGCTTTACGGCACCTTTTACGACAGTCGCGCTTTACGACACCTTTTACGACAGTCGCGCTTTACGGCACCTTTTACGACAGTCGCGCTTTACGGCTGGCTTTACGACAGTCGCGCTTTACGGCTGGTTTTACGACACTCGCGCTTTACGGCACCTTTTACGACAGTCGCGCTTTACGGCACCTTTTACGACAGTCGCGCTTTACGGCCTGCTTTACGACAGTCGCGCTTTACGGCTGGTTTTACGACAGTCGCGCTTTACGACACCTTTTACGACAGTCGCGCTTTACGGCCTGCTTTACGACAGTCGCGCTTTACGGCACCTTTTACGACAGTCGCGCTTTACGGCCCCTTTTACGACAGTCGCGCTTTACGGCTGGCTTTACGACAGTCACGCTTTACGGCACCTTTTACGACAGTCGCGCTTTACGGCTGGCTTTACGACAGTCGCGCTTTACGGCTGGTTTTACGACAGTCGCGCTTTACGGCACCTTTTACGACAGTCGCGCTTTACGGCACCTTTTACGACAGTCGCGCTTTACGGCCGGTTTTACGACAGTCGCGCTTTACGGCACCTTTTACGACAGTCGCGCTTTACGGCCCCTTTTACGACAGTCGCGCTTTACGGCCCCTTTTACGGCAGTCGCGCTTTACGGCACCTTTTACGACAGTTGCGCTTTACGGCACCTTTTACGACAGTCGCGCTTTACGGCTGGCTTTACGGCAGTCGCGCTTTACGGCACCTTTTACGACAGTCGCGCTTTACGGCACCTTTTACGACAGTCGCGCTTTACGGCCTGCTTTACGACAGTCGCGCTTTACGGCACCTTTTACGACAAATGCGATTTACGGCACCTTTTACGACAGTTGCGCTTTACGGCACCTTTTACGACAGTCGCGCTTTACGGCCCCTTTTACGGCAGTCGCGCTTTACGGCACCTTTTACGACAGTCGGGCTTTACGGCTGGTTTTACGACAGTCGCGCTTTACGGCCTGCTTTACGACAGTCGCGCTTTACGGCACCTTTTACGACAGTCGCGCTTTACGGCACCTTTTACGACAGAGTCGCTTTACAGCCGGTTTTATGACAGTCGCGCTTTACGGCACCTTTTACGACAGTCGCGCTTTACGGCTGGCTTTACGACAGTCGCGCTTTACGGCACCTTTTTACGACAGTCGCGATTTACCGCTGGATTTACGACAGTCGCGCTTTACGACACCTAGAACGTACCTAGAACGTACCTAGGACGTGATCTAGAACATGCCTAGAACTTGATCTAGAACGTGATCTAGAACGTACCTAAACCTAATCTAGAACGTCCCTAGAACGTGGTCTAGAATATGCCTGGAACATGGTCTAGAACGTACCTAGAACCTGATCTAGAACAGTGTCTAGAACGTGCCTTGAACCACACCTAGAACCTTTTACAACAGTGGCGCTTTACAGCTCCTTTTACAGCAGTCGCGCTTTACGGCACCTTTTACAACAGTCGCGCTTTACGGCAACTTTTACGACAGATTTTTCCTGCCCATCTTAGAGTTTTTCCTTGTTTTTTTCTTGCCAGTCTTGGGGGGGTTTTGTCCGGGTTTATTCTTGCCCATCTTGAGATTTTTCCCTGTGTTTTTTTTTTCTGGGTTTTTTCTTGCCCATCTTGGGGTTTTCTTTCTGAGTTTTTTTCTGGATTTTTCTTGCCCATCTTTGAGGTTTTTTCCAGGTTTTTTTTCCCTGTTTTTTGTTTTTCTTGCTTTTTTCTGGTTTTTTTCTGGTCCATCTTGGGGTTTTTTCCTGGGATTTTTCTCACCCATCTTGGGTTTTGTTTCTGGGTTTTTTTCTAGGTTTTCCTTGCCGATCCTGGGGGTTTTTTCCAGTTTTTTTTTTCCTGTTTTCTTTTCTGGGTTTTTTTCTTGTCTATCTTGGGTATTTTTTCTGGGATTTTTCTCACCCATCTTGGGGTTTTTTCTAGGTTTTCTGGGGTTTTTCTTATCTATCTTGGGGTTTTTTTCTGTGATGTTTCTGGGTTTTTTGTTGATCTTTTTCTTGCCCATCTTGGTTTTTTTCCTGGGTCTTTTTCTTGCCCATCTTTTTTTTTTTTTTTTTTTCCTGGGTTTTCTTGCCCATGCTGGGGTTTCATTCTTGGGTTTTTTCTGGGTTTTTCTTGCCCATCTTGGGGTTTTTTAGCTTTTTTTCCTGGGTTTGCTCTTGCCCCTCTTGAGTTTTTTCCCCGGGATTGTTCTGGCTTTTTTCTTGATTTTTTCTTGCCCATCTTGAAGTTTTTTTCCTGAGTTTTTGTGGTATTTTGTTGTTGCCCATCTTGGGGGTTTTTCTGCTTTTTTTCTCAGTTTTTCTTGCCCATCTTGGGTTTTTTGGGTCTTTTCTAGCCTATCTTGGAGTATTTTTCTGGGTTCTTACTCGGCTGGGACAAAAAAAAACCAAAAACCAGCCAGGGTGGAAGGCGGCTGGGGATTTTTTATTCTCAATTTACAATGAGTTGCAAAACCTGAAAAGCAAAAGTCATATACACAACGTTAAATCCAGTCAGCATGCGCTCACACACGCAGAGATGAGCAGATAGACACAGCCACGTGCTCTCACACACCCTCACACACTCCTTCCACTTACATGCTCGCTGCGGCCCTTACCTGAGATGCTGAAGAAGGTGCTTTGACACATCTTCTGGCTGCCGCTCCTTGAGGTAAATGGCAGATCCTGGGGAAATCAGCAGCCTCAGGGACCTGTGAGACGACAGGAAGAGGTCAACAAGTGGCTATCTGACAGCTAGGACTTGTCCCCACTCTGCACTGATAACTTTTCTACCCACAATCCCATAAAACACAGATGAACAGTAAAGTTGTTATAACTGTTCTACCTAACTGTGACTATAGGCCAGGGCAGGGCAGCTCCAATCATAAGTGGTACAGTGTAAGTACACACAAGATAAGCTGACGCATACAGTGCAAGTGTACATAGAGTGTACACACAATATAAGGCGACATGCTTACATACAGTGTAAGTACAGACAATATAAGGTGACGCACTTACATACAGTATAAGTACATACAGTATAAGCCAGCATAGGTACATGCAATGTAAGTACATACAGTATAAGCCAACATAGGAACACAGAATATAAACCACGACTTAAGATAACTCTCTGGAAGATTACTTATTGAGCCCTATACCCTTGGAGAAGATGGAACCTATAGAACTACTGCAGTCACGTGAGGAGGGTGTAAGATGCTCCCTCTGGAAGTCCAAGAAAATGGAAAAAAAGGCACTACCAAAGCTGATAGTGAGAAGGAAGATGGATGAGAACATCTTGTCCCTGTGAGACATTCCTGTCTCAACGAGTAAAAATGTAAAGATGCTGGAATAAGGGATATCCGGAAAGGAATGTGAGTAGAACACGGCCTATATGGCACAGAAGAGAGCCGATAAAGCATCGAGATGTAACAAAGGCCTGTGACGTGGAAGACAATGGACACACACTACATAACACAGACACCATAACATAGACACAGATGACATAACACAGAGACAAGTTGCAACTGCTTGGCACTTTCCCTTTAGGGACCCGAGAGTCCTAGCACAAGACGAGCCAGAGGCCGATGAGGCCAAGGGAAAGGAAGCCCTATGACAACAGCACGTGATGATGAAATGTAACTCATTAAAGGAACTTAGGGCCAAAGCAGTCAGGAGGATGCTCGAGAGGCTCAGCAAGTCTAGAGAAGGAAGCAGACTGCCAGGTGACTGTGGCTACAGCTCTGGCCCTGAAGGCGAGCTCCTCGGGGGAAAGAGCCGTGATGACGTCAAGTCGAGGAAGGCAGATAACGCAAAGTTCACAAGAATGTGGAGATGGGTCGGAACTGCCCTGCCCGGCAAAGGCTCTGGTGAGGCTGAAGAGAAACCCTCTCCCTTTACTTCCAGGGAGCCCGTCCCACTACAGACCTCTCTGCTAAGCTGACATCAGATTGCCTCCTGTGATAGTAAAGGATTTTCCCCTTCTCCCAACCAAGCAGCCCCGACACTTAGCTTTTGGAAGACAAGCGGACAAAATCCATCCTCGGTCAGACGTGGACGTTGAGATGTTCTCAATGTGTGTGCTTCGGTGCTGCCGCTTCCAAGCTGTGGCTACAAGCCTCCTCAGGGTACCTAAAGCAAAACAGAAAAGGTGACTATTGCCCTCAAAAACAGTAATCCCCAGGACTCCTCCGCACCCCTGCCCCAGCTCACCTCAAGTCCTGATTTGACTCCAGAGGCCGCCCGGAAGATACCTGCAAAAAGAAAATGTACACACTTAGCAGGCTGCTGCATAATGCTCACCTAGGAATCAGCCTGCCTAAACCCCGAGTCACCTGCCCTCCTCTCTTCCTCGGCATGCCTAGGGCAGCAACAGCACCTGCAAAGAAACAAAGCAGAAAAGCATGCTAAGATACTGTGAAAACACAACCTCCCAACCCTGACAAGTATGCCACACTGATACCTTAAGCTTGAACCCACCTGGCATGGGCATGCTGGGCTAGGATAGATGGCAAGCAGTCCATCTAAAATAAAAAGAGGAATAATACATACTTCGAGCTGCACTAGAAACTGAGACCTCAGCAATACCACCTGCTTTGGTACCCTACTCAATGCTCACCTTGCCCACTCAGTCTTGACAGTTGCTCTCTGCCTTGACTTCCTAAAAGTAAAGAAAGAGCAGAGCTGTAGCAGCCACCATCTATGCTCCCTCTGCAGAGACAAACAGTGACTGACCTTCACAGGGGAATCCCCTCACCGGGAATGGATGGTTCTGCCCAGGATTTATCATTCTGCAACTAAAAGAAAGTTAGGATGCAAGTCAAAGGCCTGCAGGATAACTTATGGGCTCCAGGTATCCTGTGTCCACCTACAAATCCCATCTAGAATCCAACTACACCCCACATTACAAATTCCAAGTCCCCGGGACTTCTCCTATTGCACCAGGCTATGCGGCAGGGCAGAGCAGCAGCTCCGGCAGAAATGTGTGCTGACACCCGTGACACAGGACAGACAGGACGTGACAAACAAAGGGCACAAGACACAGACAGCAATCTCTTAGCAAGGAAAATGGCTGCAAGGACTGAGAGAATGCAAAAGCAGATGACTGAGCTGAGACTGATGGTGAGCTGATGAGGCTCAGAGAACCCTGGAGGAAGAAGATGCTAAACTGAATGATTTATTCCAAAAACTGCAAAGATGGATGCCCGAGAATCCTACAGTCACAATCCTCTCCCTAACCTCACATCCTTACAAGTCCTAATCTGCTGTAATGGATCATTGCGGAGCATGGCTGTCTGTACAGCTCAGATCAAGACCTGACAAGACATCTGACTGGATGCTTCTAAAGAGAGATGCATTTCTGATGCCTGTGTGAGCTCCCAGGCCAAAAGTTCTATGGCATGGGTGCCAGGGCAAGGAACGCTGAGATCACGCATGCTAGGAAAGGTTTCTGACAGGCCCCTCACAGAGCTAGGAGACATGAGGTATCCAGAAAACACATAATACACAAAAGACAAGTGACAGGAGACACACCGGGACTGCTCTGCCCTGCTGCGCACCTCAGCACTGTGATCAAAAGGGAGACTTTGCTTTTATGGGGCCTAAGGGGCCGCCTCATGGACACCCCCCCACCTCCAAAGCAGACTCAAAACCCCCTCCCAGTAATTCCCAACCCAGCACCCTGCTTTCATCCCCACTACTGTGTCGTAGCCCACTACTTATCTCTCAGACATCAGGGGATGCCAGTCTCAGATGCAATGAAAGGCCACCTCATCAGCTGGGAAGGTCCTGCTGGCATTGGGCTGGTGTCTCTCAGACAGCTGTAGTAAAGAAAAGCAAACATCAGTGCCCGATCTTGGCACCGCATCGGCCAAAACCCCACAAGTCTCCTACTCACCGCGCTCCTAAGAAGGCCCAGAACCTCCTAACCCTGACTCTCTGCCACACATGCAATGCATCTGCACCTGAAAGAAAGTCAGAACATATGTCAAACACCACCAGGATAACTCACAAGCTGCAAACACCTTATGTCAATCTAGGAATAGCATCTAGAGCCCAAGTACAGTCCACATTACAAATTCCAACTCCCCATGGTTTGTCCTACTGCAGCAGGCCTTGCAGCAGGGCAGAACAGCTCCGGCACAAATGTGTGCAGACACCCGTGACACAGAACGTGACAAACAGGGGGACATTAAACACGACACATCATGCTTGTGGTGAGGGCCTCGAGGGGAAAAGGCAAAAGGGACCCCAAAGACACACTAGGTAACACAGGACACCAGACAACACAACACAGACCAGAGCTGTTCTGCACTGCCCGCCTGAAAGCTGCCATCAAAAATAGAGCCTCTCCCTTTAGCTGTCCTAAGAGGCCCTTGGAGAAGGTTGCTTTTCCCTCTGCTAATTTTTAAACCCGTCCCAAGAACTCCCAACCCACTACTCTCCCATCTGCAGGCCGTGGCCCCCGACTTATCTTTTGGATGAACAGTGATGGGAATCTGTTGGGGGATGGGTAGATATAAGTTTAATTGTGTTAGGAACTCACGTCTTAAAAAAGGAACTCACTAGGCCGCGGCAAAATGTCTAGTATGGACAACATTGTAAACAGACCAGTGAAGAGATTTTTGCTTTTATTTCTAGCACATCAGTCTCAGAATACAAAAAGGAGACATGACAGCTCACTGATTTACTCCAAAATGTCTCCTCCAGGAGGGCTCATACAGCAATACATAAAATCATCTCAATCTAGAGTTCAGCCAATCACACACAGAAAACACATATTGACAAGCATTCTATCCAATCTCACAAAGTATACGTAATCGTAGCTAAAACAAAGACTGGTTCATAAGAGACAATGAACAGAGCTCTATTCATGCTAACTTTCTAAAGATATACATTAAATAACCTTGTTGCCATCCTAAAACCAATTCTACAGAGACCTATTGTTATTTGGGAAACTTTTCTGCTTGCATGGGAAACTTTTCTGCTTGCATTTGCAATGCTAACAAAACTTCAGTCTGAGGCCTATACTTTTTTAACCATTTCCTAAAAACCCACTAAGCTTATGGATTCCAACATTTCCCCCTCTCTGTTTGACTTAGAAGCTTTCATTTTTTTGTCGCTTACTACTTGCGTTTCATAGTTCTATTGCAAAATTTCTGCTTATTATCTGTTGAAGACTTATTTTCACTAAACTGAAGTATTGCTATATTACGGCACAGCAACTTAATGTTGTGAAAACTTAATTCTTGAAAGAGATATGATTTACGTTCGGCAACAGTTACAAGTTATTGTTCGAAAAACTGGTCGATTTTAAGGCTTTAATTTAAAACTTTCGTTTATGTCAATACTCTCATCTACTGCTTTCGTGAGATTTTGTACACTCTCTGTGCTTCTACCTTTTAATTCTCTTGCTTGAATGACAAAAACTTTTCGGAGTGTTTTGTTCATCATTCGCTGAATACAACAGAGTATACAAGGTACTTCTATCAATATCAGTATTAGAACACTTAATACGTAAAGACTTATCTTGCAAAGTTGCTTTAGCTAAGGTGCAAAATTCTAACTTTGAAACAAATCATCTAACTAGGAACTTCTATCTTCTTTAATTTGGGCTGTTAGATTTTTTAATTTTGGAATGCTTTTGTGAATGGATTTAGAATGATCAGACAAATTCATACAACACAATCTTTCAAATTCTTCACAACTATGTCTTTGTGCTAGTAAAAGAAAATCAATGGCTGCTCTGTTTTGAAGAGTAGCATGTCTAATACTATCAACATCGGTTAACATATCACTGATTGCAGAGGATGTGGCATTAGCTTGTTTGCTCAGCTAATATCTAACTCGATCTAATTGTCTCAATGCTACTGCTGAAGCTAATTGGGGTAAAAATATACTTGCTGAAACTTTTCTGGCGGCATTCTAAGGCATAAAATCACTCTGACAGTTCTCATCATAATGAGGAACAGCTCTCGTTCTCCTTTGTTTCTTTTTCATCACTGCTTTTGCAGTAGGGGCAATTATAGTGAGCATACTAATGCTACAAGGGTTACCTTCAAGGTGAGCTGGAATGCTTTGCTAAGCTCTGTCTCTGCAAATGAACTAATACTCTTTCGGCAATTGCTGTGGATATTGATCTGTTTTTGGAACCACATCTTAACTGTTGGAAACATTACACTAAAAATTCAAATTTTTATATGCAAAATAATGAGGAGTAACACTGAACTTTGGGGGATCACTTTTTCACCAGGCACTAGTCATGAAAGAAAGTAAAACAAAAATTTATGGTCAAAGAACTAAGGATTTCCAATTCTTGAGATTCAGATGCTGTCTTAAGGAGTTTTTTGGACTAAATGTTTTAATTAAAGGAAGGACTGTTTCCATTGTCAATTCTACTTAGTTTACTATTAGATTGTTTTTTGATCAAAGGCAACTCTTTTACTGGCACACTAACGAGACAGGTTGAAAAAGGCTTTTCTGGTTCTGAATTAGACAGACATATAGTATCTGATCTGGCAGCTTTGGCTAAGGTCACTCAAACATTCGTCTTTGGTTGATCTACAGGTAAATCTGCACGACAAAAAACTATTAAAATCAAACAAAACAAGTATACTCTCTTCCAAGAACTCCATCTCCATCTCTTTCAAGAACTAAGTTTTGGCAGAATTCTTTCTAAACAAAAACAATAACTTAAGTTTTTTCCAAAAATTAGCTTTTTTAAACAAACATTCAGCATTCAATTAGCATACTCATAAATGACATTGGTACAAAATCAGAGTTCATGGGTTCTACCGATGCACAAAGAACGTCAGGCACAAGAGGCATCAGGCGAGACCCGGGATCCTTCGATTTGGTTCACGTCTGCGTACTTGCTTCTTCGGTTCTGGGCTCGACAACAGGTTCTGAAGTGCGATATGGTTTGACGTTTTTGGCAGGAACTCACTTAATTCCAGCACCTGTGGAGACAAAAGCATACTCTTTCTCTAAATTATTAATCAAAATGGACCTTCACTTGAAAAACGTACATAGCCTTACTCAGTCTCATCTGTGGGGTGCTCTCCGTTCCCCCTCTCTGTTGATCTAATATGCGTTTTAGGGTTTGATGTGTTCTTTCAATGATTGCTTGGCTTGTGGGAGAGTGGGGAATACCAAAAATGTGTCAAACACCTTATTCATTTAAAAATGTGGCCAATTTTTGAGATATGTATGTGGGACTGTTGTCAGTTTTTACTTCTTGGGGTATACTCAATGAAGCAAAAGCTTGCAGGAAATGATGACAGGCATGGCTGCTAGTTTTACCTGTGTGAAGGGAAGCAAAAACTGCACCAGAGAATGTGTCTATGGAAACATGAATATTTTTAAATTTACTAAAAGAAGGATATTTAGTAACATCTGTTTGCTACAACTGTAGGCTTTGTAAGCCTCGGGGGTTGATTGCTCTTGTAGAAACAGGAGGTTGTACTAATTGACAGTCAGGGCAAGTATGAATGATAGCTTTAGCTTGACTTTTAGTGATTTGGAACATTCGCATGAGTGCTT